CTCTTTGGTTGTTCCAATTGTGAGTGAGAGGTAAGAACATCTTTTGGGTTCAGGTCAGTGATACTACAGCTGGACAATGCCCAAGAATCTCCAACATCATCATGAATTATGCCACCCACAAGACAATCAGTAAAACCAGTCTCAGAACAGCAAAGCAAAATCCAGAAAGTGGAGACATTACATCTGTGTCTGAGTGAAATCGTTGGGAGTCGCCCTGGTTCCAAAGACTAACATCCCCATCCCCCAAGAAGAGCCATCCAGTCAGAGTCCTGCTGGCTCACATGATCCTTACCCACCAATCAGAGCCCTGCTGTCTCACATAATCCTTACCCACCAATCAGAGTCCTGCTGGCTCACATGATCCTTACCCTCCAATCAGAGCCCTGCTCGCTCACATGATGCTTACCCACCAATCAGAGCCCTGCTGGATCACCTGATCCTTACCCTCCAATCAAAAAGCACCCCATGCCAACTGTCAAACCACCCCTGGCTCTATAAATATGCAGAGCTGTTCCTCAAAAACAGGCATTTGCTCCCAGACAAGCCTTGTTTGTTCTATCAGAAATCATGGATGGTTTTTAGCTTTTTGAATGCACTGCAACTCTTACAGTTCTTGAAAACAAATATAAGGGAGTTTGCAAGAAAAGATAGGGAAAAAGGAATGTGTGCTCTCTTGTTTTCTTTTTAAGGTTGAAAAAGAAATGCCATAAGTTCATAGTTGTGGGGAAAAGAGTCTGGGATGATGTCTACGATGCTGTCTGTGAGTATTTGCTCTTTTGTGTGCTGCATGATCCAACCCTGGAGGTGTGTTCCAGTGAAGGGTCTTGGGGATCACACACATCGGGGTGTGTGGATACTGTCACTCTTTCTCTTTCTATTTGCTAATGCAACCTTAGAAATGCTTTTGAAGTTGTGAGCACTTGAGACATCAGACAGAGTCAGGATAGGGTACATATCAACTCAGGTTGCCATGTTGGATGTTGGCATTAATTATATGTCAGGATGTTTCCCTGGGTATATATTTCATGTGCATTTCTGGAATGGGGAACTTTCTAAAGTAACCTTAAATTATGAAATTTACTTCAATGGGAATTTTGCTCATGAGCCCAATACCATTTCATCAAAAGATGAGTAATGCACAAGCTATCAATGAATTATGGTATAATTGACAGAAATCCCAAAGGTAAGAATGAGAATAGTTAAAGTAACCACCAAGAATTCATATCAACTTGCAAATAATTTGAATGTTAGTTGAATCCAACAGAAACAAAAATATAGACTTCTAAGATATCAAATATCTAATTTTCAAACACCACTCCCATTATATTAAATGACCTAATGCCTTAATACTTTATTTTATGCATAGAAAAGGAAGAATACGATATTGCAATCTTTGTCAGACATATTTTATTTTCAGTTAAATAGAGATATACAGCAATATGATGCAATAAAATGCATGCATAAATATCTAGCATTTCCTGAGACCTTTATTAGCATATCTTTTTTATGGTAATCTACTATAATAGAAAATGATACTTGGAGCATTTTAAGTTCAACATGATATATTCCAGTCTATATTGGTGGAGTTCCATTATAATACTGGCTTGCCTGACCATTGAGTCATAAAATTGCTAAAAATTTGAAAATTGGCTTTTGGGAGACGATCTAAGAAAGTGCAAGGTGCCCATCTACCTTATTCCTACAGATCCTGCAACCAGAATCGCTGCTTCCAAGGAACAACATTCAATCCAGTAATGACTAGGCAATTCCAAGATTGGGACTCTTGATCATGGGGATCTGAAATTGCTTCCCTGGGTCTGTAGCTACTTACCCACTTCTAACAAATTAGGTGGAATTTTAGTGAAACAGGGACGATTATTGTAGAAAGGGTCCATATAAACCTGTGACGAGTAAGTCAAAGCATATGGTCTCTTTTAAAGCTGACTATATTGAGTTTTGAAATGTTTTTTTTTCTTAGACTTGGGTAAAAACGCCTTCCAAATCAAGTATTATGCATATATAGTCGTAATACTTTACAATGAAAATACGGACCAAAATGGCAAAGTTGTACGTGCGACTGTGCTGGCTGGTGAGTATCATGACTCTTACCTTCTGGGGAACAGCATAGAAATTTCTTCTGTTTTGTTAACACAGGAGAGAAATAGGAGCATGTATTTAGTTTTGCATAACTATACATAGATCTATAATGCACCAACAAAAATACAAAGTAAATTGAAAATATGAAAATATACATATGTATGAAATGTTGGATTCAGTAGACTGGTTTCAGAATTCATGGCCACATTCATCTTGACCTTAAACTGTTTGTTCTAGCCTAAGATTTTGATCAATGGCAAAGCTTACATTATTTGCTCATTAAATAAACAATCACATGAGCTGTTCACACAGAGTGTTCCCGGTTCCCCCCCAAGAACTTGTAGTTTGGACTCAGGCCTCAGAAAAAATGACAGGTCAGTATGCACCATTGTGGTATTAGATCCACGTGTCAAATTGGTGGGGGTAGAAGTTTATTTTGTCTTAGATGAAGGAAGAGATGGTTCTTGTTTGCTATTGTTTATATGCAGAGACGATCATGCCAATGTGCTAGATAAATAGTTCAGATCATTTTCACTCCTGCTATTGAATATTGGATTTGTGGTCCAGAGCACAGAAGAGTGGATTCTAATATGTAGACATGGGAAAAATGAGAAGCCACAGGGTAGAATAATTCCAAAACCTCAGGCCATTGGTTTCTTATGGAGAATGCACACGATTTGGGCAGGTTTGAGTTGACAGAATAAAGGGTCTTCAATGTCCTCAGTAGTCATAAGAATGGAACCATGATAGAATGTTCCATATGTGGAATTCACAGTGTTTTCATGTCCTTAAAGAGAGATCTGGAACAGTAGCATTAGACACAGCATGGCAATGGTGGGAATAATGGTTACACCATGTGACCCAGAGGGCGCTTTCTAACAGAAACCCCGTCTGCATTATTCATCTTGAAACACAGCAAAAGAAAGCAGTGTGAGTGAGGAGGAACAGAAGAGATTTGAAGAGCTGACGGTGAAAATGAACATTCCAAAGGAAAACATAAGAAATGTGATGGAAATTGGTAAAGTCACTTTTCCATTTCCTGTGGTATAGACAAGTTACCTGAAATGAACCAAGAACAGTGAGCTTGACTCTGATCTTCCATTTGCAAAATGAAAATCCGTAGACATTGAGCAACCCCAGTGATCATGGTTTCCTTTCCCCTTTCTTTCATAGATGATTTTCCTGCTACCTAAGGACCTTGTTGATGAGGAGACTCTTAAGGTTTGTATCACCTGATTTTTTAGTTCGATTAAAGATTTTCCACCTCGTGATATTTGCAATAAGTGTTTAGTAGTGAAATTGTCCCCATTGAAGGGGGCTGAGGTGAGTATATGTGTTTAAAACATTGACAATAAAGACTACCCTGGGGTGCAGAGTGGGGTTCTTGAATTTGGAGACAGACTGAGGGAATTTTGTAAAGAACTCAGCCATCAAATAATATTGTCTTTGGTGGACTCCATTGTGAATAAACTATTTCACAATGGGGACATCTTCAATAACCCTAGAGGAGATTTCTCAAACCCTGTGTGTGTGTGTGTGTGTGTGTGTGTGTGTGTGTGTGTTGGGGATTGAATCCAGGGACATTCTGCCATTAAGTCACAATTCACCTCTAATTTTTATGCTGAGGCTGCATCTCACTAAGGTGCAGAGGTTGGCTTCCAATTTGATTTCCTTGTGCCTCAGCCTCCCATATCACTGGGATTACAGGATGCACCACTGCTCTCGTCAAGTAATTTTTAATGTGTTGCTCACTTCAGTATGCACCTTAGCCCCTCTCAAAGTGAGGTGACCATCTTCCTGCAAAAGTGTATTTTCCTATGAAAATCTTCCCTGTAGCAGTTCAACGTAAGCCTAAACTAACATGTGAAAAGAGACCTGTGTGAGCGTCTGTCCACTCTATTACACATGAATAGATTTTTGCCTTTTTATTCAAATATTCAATCACATCATGCCATTAAGATCAGATCAGATACTTATTATTTTTTTAATTTTACATGCTTACAGATGCTATTGAGATCAGGAATATTTGCAGTATCATCTTCTCAAGAGCTGCAGAATAATCTACATGAAGATAAAACATCCCATGTTTTAAACATATGTAATTTCTTCTTTTAAGTTGCAAATATGTCTTGCTAATGTCCTATTTCTCTTCTTCTATATTTTATTATACTTGTTTCTGTATTCCTGATTAAATAATTTTGATATTCTATGCACAAATACGTGTCTGAAGAAGTTCATTTGAATTTCAGAAACACTTATGTTAATGCAACAATTAAAAAGATAGATCTATAAGAAAACAAGAAATCATTCTTCTTAAAAGTAATTGCATAGCTGGGCATGGTGGTGCATGCCTCTTATCACAGAGGCTCAGGAGGCTGAGGCAGGAGGATCCTGAGTTCAAAGTCAACCTCAGTAATGGCAAGATGGTAAGCAACTCAGTGAGACCCTGTCTCTAAATAACATACAAAATAGGGCTGGAGATGGGACTCAGTGGCTGAGTGCCTCTGAGTTCAACTCCTGGGAGCTCCCCCATCCAAAAACCTACTTGCATAAATGGTGACTGCATCATGAGTATAGAGAAGAAGATGAGTTGTACCATCATGGGTGTAAACCTATTATGCTGGGAATATGATCTCTCACCCAAAAGCTAATGCAAGAAAGAAAGTTCAGAGGTAAAATGGTTGGATAATGAGAGGTATGGCATAATAGAGGATTGATTCCCTGATACGGACTAACTGGGTGGTGACTGCAGGCTTTGCACTGAGGATGCCTTTGAACTCACGATCCTCCTGCCTCAGCCTTCCAAGCCAATGGAATGACAGATGTGCAACAGTGTACCCATGTCCCCTGCTGTTAAAATCTATAAACGTCCCAAAGCCAAACACATCTGCACACAGATGACAAACTTTTCTTAGAGCTGAATGCATTCCATTCCCTATGTACCTACCTGTTGAGAGCCACAGCCAAAGGGGCCCCAGCAAACTTCCAGCTGCCAGCAAACTTCCAGCT